ATGAAGCACAAACACATAAAAAACAGTCGGGAATAGGAACTGACAGGTTGAATCAAACTGTCTTCCCCTATCCGGATGAGTCCCGTTTTGCTAAAAGTGTAAAATTTGTTTTTCATTATTTTGATGCACAGGACCAAATTTTTTGTTCTTCAATGCTCCCTAACTGATTTTTTTGCTAGATGGTAGGTTTTTCAGTCGACTGTATTCAACTCCATCAAGAAAAAATACCAAAAGTATGTTTGAGAGGTTCTGCGGAGTGAAAAAGCATTATCTAAACGTACAAAACTTTTTGGGAAATCGTAAAATTTTAAAAACTGCCAACCTTCATAATAGTAAACGTAACAGAAGTGAGCGAATGCCCTTTGCTGAATTCCTGTATTTTGAACATATTTGGACCCCACTCATCTAGCTGAAATTAAAAATTTCAGAATTTTACCATCTGATATTACAGCTCTTTGCGGTGAGTGACTTTTTACGAAATTCATCCCTCTTTTTGCAGGTTATAATGGATCGAATAAAAACTAAACTGCCCTTAGTACTGAGCATTCTGTCGAGTGGAAAAGAACATTGGCTCCTTATCAAAGTTTGAGATTCAAAAAAAAAAAATTGGTAATCCCAAAAAAATCCAATCTCCTTATGATTCCTGGTTAGCAATCGCTAAAATTTGACCGCTAATCGCTAGCCCACCACTTGACAAAATATAACTCAGCAGCAGAAGATCAGAATACGAACCCTCTGCATGTGAACGGCTAATTCCTTTTGCCCGTCAACACCATATTCCGGAATATGTCCACCACGAGGCGACTTCAGCTTGCGAACCCCGCTGATCCGCGACATCGCAGCCGTTTTCGCCTTACCCAGCAGCGACATTGGAACATTTTCTAACGAAGAAGTTGACGCCGTCTCATCAGGTACCTGTAAAATTTCATCGTTTTTTACTGAGCAGTATTTCTGAAATAATTACATGAAACCGGGTGGCTGCTTTAGGTACTTGCTAAAATTTCCCGAGTGCTTCCGTCTCTTACAGAAAGCAAAAGATTTTGTCTTTTAACTTTTGGATTTGGATTTTAGCTTTTCCATCGTGAGATCTCAAAAAAAAAACGATTTCCGTTTGACCAAGGTTAATTATCAGAAATTACTCATATTTGCTAATAAATGTTTGCCTGTTTTGTATGCGGCTGTGCAAACAGAAGCATATAATGCGTCTCTGCATTTCTTGATATCTCATAATTTATCGGAGAAATATGAAAGCAGGAAGGCTGAAATAGGGGAGCGAGAATCTAATCCTGAACGTTCGCAATTCGAAAAATTTAAAGGCAATTTTTAGAGCACACTAAGTTTGATTGATTTTTGACATTTCATAAAATTGGGATTACAACACTTCTGCCGGTCTTAAAACGCCCCATGCATTTTTGAAACCGCGGTAAAATCTTTGACGCGCGAATAATCAAGGAGAGGGCGGAGAAGAGGATGAGGGACGGGATGAAGGTTGTGGTCATAAGCTCAGGTGGAAACTTAGCTACAAAACTTGGTACATCACAAAAATTTAGAGATTGGTCCATCAAGATGAGCAATATGAATGAAATGAAACTGTGCTGCTGCACATCATCATCTCAAATACAGAATGATAAGTAATGGCCATTCGAAAACCGATTCAGAAGCGGACGGTCCAAGTGGAGCGACCGGAGTGGGTTAAACTGATAAAAAAATTTTTTTATAGCCGCTGACAGGCCAGAACACAGCTGGCTTCTAACCACTGAACAGGAAAATTATGGGCCCTGAATTCCGGTGTTTTACAGCCTCCACACCAGTTAAAAGATCGTCAAATTACAGCCCCACTTCTGTGCATTCTAAAAGAACTACTGGCGATGCATCCACAACCACCAAACCATCAAAACACAAGACCACATCTGAATTGTTCCCTATTTCTCTAGTTCTAAATTCATACCTGCGCCGGAGGATTGGGTGACTAGCTTAAAGGTCAAAATGGCAAGAGCTGAGGTATCAGAAAAACCACAAGCAGTGGTGAAATTACCAAATTAATTTAATGAAAATGTTCATTGCCTACGTCAAATATATTCTACCTGCGGTGGCAAGACCCAACGCGAATCGGTCATCAAAGTGCAGTTTGATGGTCATTTCGAAAAAAAAGTGTCGC